GGCCCAAAAGGAGGGGGAAAAAATGGCCAAAAAATTTTTAGGGGGTTTGGGGAAAAAAAAAAAAAAGCTCCAAAATTTGGGGGGGTTTTTTAGAAGGGGTAGAAAGGGGGCCCCTTTTGAAAAGGGAGGGGGGGTAAAGGGTAAAAAGATTTGGGCAACCAAAAAAGGAGTCCCCCCCCCCCCCCCCCCCACCTCAATGGTCTAACGACTACAGCATGCACGACTATGAGTACACCTCCCCCCCCCCCACCTCTCCCCCGCCGCCCCCGTTGATCTCTCTCTTCTTTTTTTATTTTTTTGAGCAGAACACGTTCGTTCCCGGTGTGATCGAGCTGGCCGAAGAGCACAAGGTATACATCGGCGGAGACGACTTCAAGTCTGGACAGACCAAGATGAAGTCGGTCATGGTCGATTTCCTGGTAAGAGGGATGATGCGGGGAGGAAGCTATGAACAACCTACCTACCCATGGTGCATGGTGTGCGCGTGTACAGCTAGCACCCGCACCTTGTGAGCAATAATTAACAAATTGGGCGTCGAACAACTCGAAACATAGAAATACACTTGAGCACCATTATTGAGCCCATCGAAAGCCATGTACAAGTATATGTAGCAAGACGTTAGCCGCGACACACTCGCTCAGTTTCAATTTGTGAGCCCGGTTGAGAACTCCTACAGGTACAGCCTGTGTTTGTAACGGTCATTCGAACCTTAACCCTCGGCCAAAACTATGATATATTGGTAGAGGGGTTACGGGCAGGTGCCAACTGTATGCCACTTCTTCGCAACAAGCACATGCGAAGGGCGATGCGGAGATATGCTTCCTGTGCTTCAGCCACCCTCGTAGCATTCTTAACTCCTACCGTAGAGAGACTCGTTGCGAGCATACCCAGAACACACTTGCTTGTGTTTGCTTTTGTGTATAGCTTGAGAATACTGGATCGTGGCTCGTGTTGCAGACATCCTTCCGCCCTCGCACGCTTAATTCCTACTATTTTTTAGGTTCAACCTTGTCGACAACCAATAGTGTACCCACTGCCCCTGTTACGTTGCTGCCTCCCCACGCTCATGGCCCTTGCCTCTCGTTCTGTATCGTTGACCGTTTCAACGTTTCTTTTTTCTTTGAAATATACTGCATGCAATCTCAAACATGGACCTGTCGTTCGAGATAATGCCTCTGTCGAATGGGATGTGCTGGAGTCTTTACAGCGGTGAGTTTTGGTTCTGACGGTTTTTTCTCGGTCTCTTTTGTCCCTTTTCTTGTGTCTGTCAGGTGAGCGCCGGGATCAAGCCGACGTCGATCGTGTCGTACAACCACCTCGGGAACAATGACGGCAGGAACCTCTCGGCGCCGCAGCAGTTCCGCTCGAAGGAAATCAGCAAGTCTAACGTCGTGGACGACATGGTGGACTCGAACAAGATGCTCTACAAGGAGGGCGAGCACCCTGACCACGTCGTGAGTTTCATTTTCTTTTCTTTTTTTTGCCGGAAAATTTGAAGAAAAATTATTTTCCTCTCTCTGCTGGAACATCACCTACCTCGTGGTACATGTACAAGTGGCCGCTTTGGGTTCTTTGGCACAGGAGCGGTAGCGAAGTCTTGTCTCGAATTGGGTCATCCATCGACCGATTTACGCGATGGATGCCCCGGTCTACACCCTGCGTTGTTAAGCCCTGGCCTTGAAATCGCTCGGTGGTATATGTACGAGGCGCCAAAAACCTTGCAAACTTACGTGTCTCCCGCTTTTGGTGGCGTGACCGTCTATCGCAGGTGGTCATCAAGTACGTGCCGTACGTGGGCGACTCGAAGCGTGCGCTGGACGAGTACACGTCGGAGATCTTCATGGGGGGCAAGAACACCATCTCCATGCACAATACGTGTGAGGACTCGCTGCTGGCAAGCCCCCTCATCTTCGACCTCGTCATCATGGCGGAGCTTTGCGAGCGGATTCAGGTACACCTGCCTGTCTCCCTACATTTTTGTCAATGGATGGTGGATTGTGGTAATGCTACACGGCTTTCTCTGGTTGGTCAGGTTCGCTTTTTAATGCTCTTTCGGATACTCAACTAAGGGCGATTCAAGTTATCTTTCGTTCGTGTTAGTTTGTTTGTTAACGTGGCCTTCCAGGTGAAGAGGGAATAAACCATTTTTGTCTTAGTCGCACGTTGAGCGTTAATTGGTCTTCAACTGCTGCTGCTGTGCCCTGCCCTGGTTGAGAAGGAAGGTGCAGAAGGTGCGAAGTCAGTTTCGTCTTGTCCTATGTATGTTAAGCGTTAAGACAAGCTTGGTCTTAAACTGCTGCTGCTGCTTAACCCTCTCTCCCCAGGTTAAGAAGGAGGGCGGCAAGTGGGAGGGCTTCCACTCCGTGCTGAGCCTCCTGTCGTACATGCTCAAGGCTCCTCTCGTGCCCCCCGGCACCCCCGTTGTGAACGCCCTCTTCGCCCAGCGTCAGGTCAGCTAACTTAAAAACCCACGACATCTCCATCGTAACTATAATAGTTGACGCATCGTTCGTCGGCGGATATTGCTGTTGTTGTTTTGGTGTGTGTGTGTGTGTGTGAATTAAGACGCGGTTAGTAATACCTCGTTTCCCTCTTCACCTTCTGTCTCTGTCTGGCGCAGGCAATTATCAACGTCATGCGGGCGTGCGCCGGTCTCGCTCCGGAGAACCATATGCTCCTTGAGCACCGCCTCAAATCGGAGATCGACGGTCTTGCGGTGAGTCAGCTATTCGCTACCGCACCGCTACTAAATACTGCCGCCGCAGTGTTAGGTGTAGGGGAGGTTTTTCTGCCATCGCGACGCGGTTACTGTAGGTGTGCGGCCTGTTTTTAGTAAATACCTTATGCATGGACTCAAAGAAAGACTACTGTACCCGTTCGAGACGAAACCACATTTTTTTTTGTGTCAAGTGTTCTTGTCGCACTCTCGTGCGTCCGGGTCTCCTTTCCCCTTCCATCTTACTTCCATGTCGGCCTCTTTTTGTGTGCTCATCTTCCTTCGACCTGACAAATCTTCATACCTTGTCCTACAGGGTTTGCCATGAATTGCTCTCCCTCACGCTGCACTGCCCATGCGATTCTAGCCAGATCCGCACCTGCGTTTGGAGTTATTTCCCGAATGTGCTTCGTGGCTTGTGTCAGGCGGTTGAAGTTCTTTCCTTTCTTTTCCCTCGTGCTTTGGGTCCGTACTGAGTTGTACTATTGCTTTGTGCACGTATTGAGTACCCCCCCCAAATCACCCCTCATCCGTGTAACCCCCCACCCCCCCCTCCCTCTTCCCGCGCTGCACCGAAATGTACTCACGGCTTGTGTCAGGCGGGGCCGGACGCCTCCGTGGAAGCGCCGGCGGCGAAAAGGGTCAAGGCGTAGCGCGGGGAGCAGGGTAGGCAGTAGGCAAGGCAACAGGGCCGTCCACCCAGGAAGAAACCAACCCCTTTTTGATTAGTTGTCGTGGGGGTGGACTGGGTGTACAGCCGGCCGGGAGGTATACCTCTGAGGGACCATACCACATCAGGACTCAGCTATCTGCGTGCCCCCTTGGTTGAGAGGTGGACCCCCACCTCAACCAGACCTTTTATCTCTCTCAATTCGAGCAGCATCCCATTTCTACACAATCGTGGAGGCAGGGCATCAAGCGACCGAATCTCGTTCTTTGTTACCCTAGGACCCAGCTGCTTCCAACAGCTGGGGCCCCTTCATACAAGCGGCGTTCTGTTGCTGTTGCGGAGCCATGCGGGCCGCAAGGTGCTACGGCCACGAACGAGATAGAGCCTGCCATTTTTTCGCCGTTTAATTGGCAACGTGGTATCATACCACGGATATGAAGAGAAGCAAGCATTTGCTATTTATTGCTCGTGTGGGTTGTTTCAGTTTTGCCTTTTTTTTTTTTTGCGTTATAGCACACCCGTGCGTACACGCAACTAGATATGTGGCGCGACGGCTGTCGGAGATATGCATGGTGTGGCCTCTGTCCAGGCTATATCAATGCTGCCGCCGCGACGAACAAAACGACAAAAGTGTCGTGCTTTTCCCCCCCGTTTCGATTTTGTTTTGTTTTTTGGCAAACGCAAGTTGGTTGCGTATCTACTATTTATTTTATCCCCGCTCTCGCCTTTTCTCACCCTTTGGCAAGGTGTAGTTTTGCGCAACAGGTGTACAGCGGTATGGTAGCCGTGCATGATGTGTGTTCCGCAGGCATGCTACTAAGTATACTCTAGCACGTGTTTCTGTGTGTGGTGTGCATATTTAGGAGTGCAGCCACCCAGAATGCGGTATGGCGCAATCATGCACATTAAGAGAGTCGTAGTAAGCAGGGGGGGAGGGGGGGGGGGGGGGGGGAAGC